CTTCATGCCCTTCTCTTCGCAGATCCTCCTTGGGACCTTCACGTAGACGCCCTCCTTGTGGAGCCAGCCCAGCTCCTCCTTTCGCGCCGCCTTCACCAGGTGCGCCGGCAACTCCGTACCGGTCACATCATCCACAAACTGGCCGAACTCCTCCTTGTAGAGCTCTTCCTGCTCGACGTACTCATCCGGTGTCGGGCCTGACAGCTGCTCCTCCACCGCACTGATCTCTCCCCTCTCTCGTAGCTCTTTCCTCAGGCCACGTAGAATTGCCTCCACCAGCTCCTTGGGGTAGACCTGCGCAGCCTTAGCTCGTCCACCTCCCACCAGATGAACATGCCGATGCACTTCTCGACCTTGTAGGACATTCTCACACACGCCCTCCAGCTCTTCTGCGATCCTCCTCGAGTTCGTCAGCCACAAAGTCTCCTTTCTCACATGCAGGATTTCCCCTTCTCGGTCCTCCATCTTCATGCCCCAACGGCACATCGGACTCTGAACCAAGTACGTGTCGTCTCGATTCACCTCCTCTTCCACTTCCGGCATCTTCCATGACGTGGACGGTTTCGGGTGCTCATGGAGATAAAAGGCACCCTGCTCCCGCTGTTGTTTGCAGCACTTCATCGCGGTTCTCATCCTCGCCTTTCCAAGCTCCTCCTCCTCTTGCACCACGCCCGGGTCCCTCTTGCCATTGGACACGTTCCTCAGTGGGCTAAACGTAGTGCACGGCGGTGAGCTCGTCAGGAGCCACGGCTCCTCAACCTGAATCATCTCCAGCACCTCCTTCTGATCTTCTGGCCTGTCGAGGTTCCACCTCTCTGACCCATCTGGCTTCATCTCCTCTAGGTCCACCGCCGCTCCGTCACGCATGCCGAACCGCCAGCTCCTTTGTCACACGCTGAGGTGAAAACACCTCCAGCACATCCAACGCACCTAGGCTAGCCACTATGCTCGCAGCCTCCTTGCTCCCGGCCTCTGCCAGGATCTCCTCTGCCTCCATCCTTCTCGAGCCTGCCTGGCCGCTCGCATCCTCTTCCATATCTCGCAAGACATCTTCGATGTCCCTTGCTCCTTGCTCTCCTCCTTTCCGCTTTGGCGATGCTTCCCCGGCATCGGGGCCCCGGCTTGAACTTGACGGCTCAGCCTCAGCCCTTGCCTCATCGTTCGCTTCCTCTTCCGCTGCTCTCTTCTTCGCCCTTCTCGCAATTTCTCTCTCGTCCTCATCTTTCTGCTTCTTCATCTTCTCCTCATCCTTCTTCACATCCTCTGCAATTCTCCTCTTCATCCTCACTCTGCACTCCTCTGAGTGGCTCGCCTGAACCAGCGCGCCACCCGTGTTGATTGTGTGACACCCTTGGCATCCTGGAGTGCTCCCATACTTCTGCATCATCGTTCTCCTCACCGGCCACGCCCGGCCCTTTGCCGAGTGACCTTCTGCCTCTGGGGCTTCTCCCCCCTGATGCTCCTCTGGGCGCTCAACCGGGACCTCTCCTCCAGGTCCGGGAGCTGGGGCCACGAGGACCACCGGGGGCAGCCTCTGATCCTCACCTTCTTTCTGCTGTTGCTGCTGCCGCTCCTCCGGCTGCGGGTTGACATACTTCTTGATGTCCCAGGGCACACCACGTAATCCAGGCTCCAGCCTTGACCACCTCTGATCCTCAGGCACCATGTGGAAGCCCGTGCCAACCACCACTCCGGCATCCGTCATGGCCAAGATCGACCCAAACCTGTTGTGGGTGCCCAGGTACCTCCCGCTAACCATCCTTGACCAATCTCCTCTCTTTCCGCCTCCAGCAGGTTTGACCATGATCTTTTCCCCGAACTCCGGCATGGCCTTCACCCATCTTTTGCCTGTCCGTCTCTCCTCTGGCGTCCTCCCATCTGCTCCGACCTTGAACCTGCCATGCTGCTCTGCAGAGTACCTCGGGGCCCAATAAGTGATAGGATGCCCTTCAGGAACTCCACCGTCCAACTTCTTGTCCAAGGCCAGGAGATTGGCTTTGCACCTCCATTTGATCTCTTTGACAGCCGCCTCCGCTTCTCCGTTCGACCGTGAATCTCCGGCCGGCGACTCCTCTGGCACCGCCTTCTTCAATCCTCTCGCCTTCTTCGCTGCCTCCATCTTCATCTTCACCAAGCTCCTTTCACCATCGCTTTTGAGGACCACCTCCTTGTAGCCCAAGCTTTCCAGGAACCTGGTCAACATCTTCTGGGCCGTCGCATCCACGAGCCCTTTTCTTTCCATGGAGGTTGCCGTCATCAGCCCGGTCTTCCGGTCCCGAGCTACAATGTTCGGCTTCGCACCTTCGGCCTCGCCCATGTAGAAGTAGTCGAGGCTCACCGTGGACATGTCGGGATTCTCATCACCATGCGGTCCACCTTCACGTGCTTCTGGACAAGGCCTGCTGCTTTGACGCACATCTCGCACCAACTCCTGTAGACCGCATGGCCGCTCGCCTCGTGCTCCTTTCTCTCACGCTCGCTTGGCTGCGGCGGCACCCAGCCCGGGTGAGCAGGTCTGGCCTCCACCAACTCCTCAGGACCTTCTTGCTGAGCTCCGATCTCATCCTCCAGAGCCCATACCGTGTTGCGCTCCTCGTCAATTCTCGCTGCCTTGGCTTTGGGCTTGCTCTTCATCAACCCGCTCGCCGAGGCCTGTATCTCCAGTTCCGCCACCTGCTCATCCGCGCTCTCTGGGTCGGGCATCTCCAGGTAGAAGTTGTAGATGCCGTTCTCCTCCACCACCGGGATCATGCCCTTGTCACCGTACAGCTCCAGCGCCTTCTCGTAGGCCTCCTCCAGCGTCTTATAGACAGGATGCTCCACCGGCATGATAGTTCCTCCGCCTTTCCACAGCCAAGTGCTGTGCCCTTTTCCGTGCAACCTGCCCGCGCTGATCAGGACCTTGTGCACGTCCGTCGCATTCCCATTCACCATGCGCTTCACGCCGTTCATGTCATAGCCGCCAATCTTCACCGGGCCGTAGTTGTTGATCAGCTCACCCGAGGCGGTCTTGAACGTTCCTTTTCCACCTCCAGTTCCTTCGCGCTTGTACCTCTTCGGGATAGCTGTCACCGAAGCGCCAGTGTCGAAGTTGCACTTCAGCAGGTTGATCTCGCCGCCAAGCTCTCGTCGTTTGATAGCCACCCTTTTCGCAAACGAGGTCGTTGTAGACACCCTCGCCGTTGACGACAGCGCGCAAAGGTCCAGCCCGTTCGCTTCGCCTTCCGGCTCATCTCCCGGCTGCTCCAACGATGCCGCTTCCCGCTTGCCGCCTTTGCCACCTTTCGGACTTGTAGGCGCCGACGATGATGAAGCTCCACCACCCTTCGCCCAGCAATCCTTCTTCATGTGGCCCTTCTTCCCGCAGTTGTTGCAGATGCCATCAACCTTGCCCTTGCCGGCGCTCTGGCTGTTGCTTCGGGACTTCGCGCCTCCTCCTTTTGATCCCTGCTGCGGCTTCGACCAGCAGTCCTTCTTCTTATGGCCTTTCTTGCCACAGTTGTCGCAGTTGCCCTCGAACTTGGCCTTGCCTCCTTTTCCACCTCCTTTCTTGCCCTTCACGAGTGAGGCCAAATTGCCATTGACCGCCCGGACCAGGGAGTCCACATCCATGGGAGCACGTCACCTGCTGAGGACTTGCTGAAGTCCCTTGCTCCCCGTCTTCGCCTCCATATAGGTCACCACTTCCTGCTCCATCTCCTCAAAGGTCCGGAACCTCGTGTAGTTCAGCATGAGGTGCTGCTCCATCTCCTTTGGAACTAATTTCTCCAAAGCGTTCATCGCCAGACTGTCTTGCAACACCTCACGCTTCCCGAACTGATCCTTCTTGCGGTCGTATCTGTTTCTCAATGCCTTCCAACGTTCTAAGGCATTGCCGAGGTTCTCGTATGAAGATCTTTCTGGGCTCGTCAATGCTTGAAGCATTATGCGCTTGCGCCCTCCGGTGCTCGGGTCGAACTTCCTGTGCAGGGCCCTCCAAGCTTCCAATCCAGCACCCTTCGGCGCGTTCTCCACCAGGTCGAAGACCGCCCCCTCCGTGGTCGCCCTGAGGATGGTGTAGACCTGTTGGTTCATCTCATCAACCTCATCCCATTGGTCCAGAAGATCTGCTCCTGCCCCGAACTGGTTGTCGATGTCCATCTGCGCGATGGGGTTCTCCTGCTCAGCAGCCCATTCCAGCACCTCACGGGATTTGCCGCCGATCACGCCTGCCACGTAGTCCTCCAGCTTCAAGGCCCAGACCCGGAATCGATCTTCGGCTCCTTCTCCGAGCACCTGAGGCTTTCCAAGGCCCTTCTGATCTATCAGGCCTCCACCTCCTCTTTTGCTCATCTTCTCCAGGACTTCCGGCAACCGGCTCAATGCTTGCAGCACTTCCGCCGAGCCCCCTGATCCTCCGCCGGCTCCAGCCGTCTGCTGCTCTGCCGCTTGCACCCGATCACGGAGTCCCGCATTCTCCTGAGCCAACTGCGCCATCTGCTGCTGCATCTGCTGCACCACCGCCGTGAGCTCCTGTATCGTCGCCATTGCCCTCTTCAAGGATCAAGCCGACCAACACAAAGAAGCCCCCCTCGTAGGTGAAGATGCCCACCAGCAAGGCCAGGATCCACCTCCAGTGGCTCCACCGCCAAACGGGCTTGCCTTGCTGCCGCAGCTCCTCAAACCTCTGCAGCTGCCGAGCGTCCTCCGACCTCGACTCGGCCGCTCCCCTCTGTGGCCCAGCTGGCCGCTCTCGGGGAACCCCGATCCTCCTCCTGTAGGGCTTGTCCTTGGCCGCGGACTTGCCCCTGGTCGTGCCCGAGAGCTCCGCTACCATGAAGACATGGCTTGGAGACCCTTTTTCTCTTGGTCCGCTGAATGATCTCCGGGGGCACGCACAAACCTTTACATGTCTGCAATCAATCAATCAATCAATCAATCAATCAATCAATCAATCAATCAATCAATCAATCAATCAATCAATCAATCAATCAATCAATCAATCAATGAATCAATGAATCAATGAATCAATGAATCAATGATTCAATGAATCAATGAATCAATCAATGAATCAATCAATCAATGAATCAATGAATCAATGAATCAATGAATGAATGAATGAATGAATGAATGAATGAATGAATGAATGAATGAATGAATCAATCAATCAATCAATCAATCAATCAATCAATCAATCAATCAATCAATCAATCAAATCAATCAGATCAAACCACATAACATCAAATTAAATCAACTCGAATCACGTGAATTCAATACATCCAATCCAATCCAATCCACTGCAATCCAAACAGTCATTCAATCAAGTAAATAAAGTAATCCAGCAATCAAACAATTCAGCAACCCATCAATCTATCAATCCATCCACCCAACCCATCCAATCCATCCAATCCATCCAATCCATCCAATCCCTTCAATCCCTCCAATCCATCCAACCCATCCAATCCATCCAATCCATGCAATCCATGCAATCCATCCAATCCATCCAATCCATCCAATCCAATCCAATCCAATCCAGCCCAGCCCAATCCAATCCAATCCATCAATCAATCAATCAAACAAATCCATGCAATCCCTGCAATCCATGCAATCCATCCAGTCCATCCAATCCATCCATCCATCAATCAATCAAATCAATCCATCGATCAAATTACCCCCAAGACCTCGGGTTCTCCCACTGGCTTTGGGGGGGAGGGGGGTAATCAAACATGCGCACACGAACACATGTGCTGCACACACAAACAAGCACACAGGAACACACATGCTGTGCACACAAGTGAAGATGCTCGTGTGGTCCTGCCTTAAGTACGCGTAAACACACAAGCACGTGCAAACAACTACCGAAATACATTCAGAAAGTGCCTTCTGTCATGTTGGCAATGTTATTATTTACTTTGAATTTGCTTTGACTGCATATCGCCATGCGAAGCGTTTCCCTGTGTGGCTGCTGCAAGCAAAATTCACAGGCGCACGGCAGCCGAAGGGCTGTCGACATCCAAAACGTTTTGCAAACCGCTGTTGCGGCTGTCAACAACTGACTGTCACGGGTTTCACTGCGGTCGGGTCCTTGGAATCCCCTGTTTTTACCAATGCTAAACACTTGCCCTTTCAAAATCCCTGGTTTTCCCATGGTTTTGGATCACGCCCAGCTGATGTTTGAGCAGGTCTTCTCCAAGAGTCGATGGCAGGGACAGTTTGTTGCTTCGAAGAAGCTCATGTCTTGAGCGTCTAATCAACCAATCAATCAAGCACCCAGGCAAGCAACCAAACAATCACTCACCACCGATCCAACAAAACCAAGCAAGCAATCCAATCCGATCCAAGGTAAGTCAATCCAATCAATCAAGTCGACTCGTCAACCTATCAAGCAATAAGTCAATAAACTAATACATCAACCAACAAATAAATGAACAACGTAATACATAAATATCACAAAGACATAGTCAATCGCTCGATAAAACACATTCACCAACACATCAGGCAAACACATCAGCAAGCCGCCGTTTGTCACTCACCCACTTACTCACTCACTCACTCACTCACTCACTCACTCACTCACTCACTCACGCACCCACCCACCCACCCACCCACCCACCCACCCACCCACCCACCCACGGCCAGCCAGCCAGCGAGCCAGCCAGCCAATTTGGCCAGCCAGTTGGCCAGTCAATGAGGTAACCAACCACAACAAGCAACTAAGTAATCGCGATTGAATGATTGAACCCCCGCATCCCCTATAGCCAAATTGTGCGTCCTTGATCTTATCCAAGCGTCAGTGCTTGGCAGCGCTCTTCCAAGAGCTGGTGCTCCTTTGTCAGCCCCTCAATGTTTGACTCTGCCTCGTTGGTGAAGCTAGACCTTGGCCAGACAGACCGTGACACGGCGACGAAGCCAAGCATTGGTCGGCGCAACAGATCACCATGCACGGACAAGAAGTTCCGGCCCTATTCTTATTCCCAACAGACACAAGAAAGTGGAGGTTCCAATCATCCAAAGTCCAGTTGAGCCACCATTCGCAAAAATCAAGCCAGTCCAATTCCTGAACAAAAGCAGGCACTAGGTAGCACTCCTCCCTTCCCTCACGGCCACATGCTGATGATCGAAGGTCCAACTGCTACAGTTTTGAGTTCCCGGCATTGCTTCAATAGTCGCTTCCTCAGATAGCCAAACAATGGCTGCGCGTAGAAAAAGAAAATGCACCCCTCCGAATGATGGATGCGATACCGGTGCCTTTTTAAGATGACTCGAACAAGGTTCCTCTAGCTTCTCACTTGTCCAATAAAAGACGCAGATCACATGAGGTCAGCTTTTGCTGCCACATCTTTTTATTGACCAAGAGTAGAAAGGTCCAAAGATCTGAACCTCAACTCGCTTTGTGCCACTGAAAGTTTAGGCAGCCAAGGGGCCCTCGTGAGTCGGGGAAGGGCAGCCTCCTTACATTTCTGGGAGACCTGACCGGCCCAAGATGAAACTTCTCTAGGCAAACGTGACTAGGTCTGAGACTTAGGGTTGAGGGCCATCCTAGTGAACCCCAAGCCCTCCAAGCTCAGCGAATCAAGCAATGAGCAGTTCCTCAAAAGTGTGCACAATGACTTGGCTGTCCATCTGCCAGCGAATGCCTGAGGGACCGTGGCAAAACTGAGAGGCTACTGCACCATCCCCAATCCGCACGGCAAGGCTATAACCACAAACACTCTCGAATAAGGCCAATGGTGGGCAAGACTCAATGCATCCTCGCTGCATGTGATTTGCGTTAATGGTCGGCCAACCGTTTTCCTGGGCCTGACCCCGGAAACACCATCAAGTTCCATTAGGCAACCACTAGGCCACATCCGGACACCACCGTCCAAGGCGCCGCTTCCTCCAAGCGTTGCTCGACACTGCCCTGCCGCAGGGGACGACAGCACTGCCTATGAGGGATGGAGGTGACAAGAAGCTGATGCAAATATCGCAGAGTTTGCAGCATGCCAACCTTGGCAGTTTTGGGTAGGAGGTTGGCCCCAGAAGACAGATATCATTCAGTACTCAGCTATCCCGTGAGGACACAAGTAGCTCGCTCCTGTGTCCTCACCAACATCACCATGACCTCCACGTAATCTTGTAACCTGTTGTTCCTTCGACAAGTAGAAGCAACTACAGTACAGGGTTGCTCAAGGGGTGCCTGGAGAGAAGAACTCATCTAACATAGGGCACAACCATCGAGCACCGCCAGCAGCACCACCACTCGACGCGAGCTGCGCGCCTCCCGTAGCTGGGAAAGCTCGTGGACCTCCTCGCGCACCACACGCCAGGTGTCGGCCAGGGAAGCTTCCAAAGACTGGCGGGAAGCGGGGCCAGTTCCGCGTGCGGCAACCGAACAATTGGAAAGGGACGTAGCTCGCTTCTCTTTCTACAAGCCTCGCATGTTAAAAGGCTGGCTAAGTGTCGTATCATTGAGGGATGGGTGGTTTCCTGGGTAAAAAATCGCATTGTACGCTCATGTTTGCTTGAAACTGACGGACGTCTGTTGGACCCTTCCCAAGGTGGACAGCTAAGCAAGGTGTCTCTGATGGGCTCACACACATTTCCTTGCATCCGCCATGCCCGGCCGTCGGTAGCAAATTGCACCGCGAAATCGCGGTAAAGCATGTGCTATCAGAACAAATGGCCATGGGTCAAAATCCCCACTAAAATAGACTAAAACGGGTGGTGCACCGACCCCAAAATGGTACCATTGGTTTTACCCACAGCCAAATGAGTCGTCAACCATTGGAAGGACCCCCCATCTCGGAAACGAGCCACTCACCGGGTCAAGGACGGGTCAAGTGCCCAGCAGGCTCCAGCCCATTGCCTTTGAAACAGATCCGGAAACCTGGGGGCCCACGGACTCGATGAACAAACTCGAGTCGCCAGACTCGGGCAATTCATCTGAGCCAAAGCGGTGGCCAAGTCCGCTTTCAAGCGGCACGAAAGTTGCACGCCTGCAGCTCGTCCTGATGCTGGGCCTCACTCTCCTCCAATGGCAAGAAACTAAACATCTAAAAGCTACATGCCTCGGCTGTTCAATATTCCTTCGAAAGGGGAAACCTTTCGTAAACCAAGGGAGGGACAACTCGGACTCGCGGATTGGGACAACCATGGGCCCCAATCGTCATGGGGGCTGAGGGGGGGAGGGGAGGGGCAGGGAGCCCAAACATGTTCTAAATAAGGCCTTATTTAGGAAATATTTGGGCTCCCTCCCCCTCCCCTCCCCCCCTCAACCCCCATGAAATCGAAATAAGTCTGTCCTGCATGGCTTGTAGCTCTAAGTCTTGCTCCCGCAGCTCCGCGCGCCGTTGTGCCTCCTGAAAAAATACCCGCGGCGCCGGAAGAATCCGGACTCCCGGAAGCACCCGTCGTTTTTCGGGGAGGAAACCCGACAGGAACCAAAATAACTGGCTTCCATTTAGTCGCCTCTAATACTATGATACCAAAAAGGGCACAACAGCGGAACGTGACCTAAGTTACAAGGCTGCGCTCGCGAAGGGGGATCCCCTTCACCAACGGTGACATGATAATCTGTTACACCCTCCCTTGATGACGTTGACCACCCCAGGATACAGTGACATGTTGGGCCCACACATTGTCCATTTTTCGAAGTGTAAGGCTTGGCGGCTTATGGAAAAGTAGACAAGGCACAGCTAATTTCTGCTGGCCAAGCTCCAAAGTAGCGTGACCTATTTGCCAAACCTAGAGTTTCCCAGTTTCCCTAAGACTCCTCGAGGGAGGTCGCAGACCTCCTGATGAGGGCGCTATATGGGTGTGGCTCAAAATTGAACAGGAGGGGTTACGCAGGTTTTGGTCCATGTTTCCACTTACCAGGGTTCCATTTTGGTACCGGTTTTTTGAGCCACAGCCATATGTTGCCCTTAAAGCGTTGGCTCGACCAAGCAAATCGTCCAGCCGGCGGAGTCCTCCTCTGCGGCTTCCGTCCGCTCTCGCTGCAAGAGACCTCGGCGGAATGGGCGCCTGTGTCCAACATGGAAGCTGACCTCTTCGAGGATTTTGAGGGACCATCTGTTGGGTGTTTGGTTGATGGAGGGGGGCAACTGAACAAAAAACACGATACTGTAGGTCATGGATGATTGACTGCAGATAGGGTGCGGTGGGGCTGGGCACGAAGCACCTTTTGAGGCTCCGAATGCATTGTTGGAGGAATTGTCCAGAAAGCACGCATCCCCGAAGTAGGCTACATGCATATATGCATCTGCACGGTAAACAGCCAAGACCAAAACGCACTGCTGAACAGTGCAAAAGCGAATGAATGACGTCACGAACAGCATGTGGGATTCCGGCAGTCTTAGGAGACATGCAATGCGCTGGCGATCAGTTGAAGAGTTGGGTTTTAGTATGCCAGGATCGCGACAGCTGCTTTTGCCAAGGCTCTTCGGCGACAGGCATTATTCAAGCTTCTTGATTGCGTGGCACACACAACTGCAAAGAGGCACAAAGCCTGCAAGAGTGGCTTAACCACAAAATCCGCAGCAAGCAACACTTTGAGACACTTCCAAGCTGTTACATCTACCACGGGTATGGATGCCCTTGACTTTTCAATCGATTATAGTTCAGGATTCCTTCCAAGCTAGTGAACATGTCCTTCCATTTGCTTTGTTTGCTTAAGCCCGCTGGGGAAAAACAACAACCTATTTCCACTAGTGATAGATTCCCTTTAAGGAGAAATAAGACATATATTATTAAGTAAATGGAAGTGTCTGACCCCAGGCAAGCAAATTGATATGGCACACATGTCCAGGGGCAACTGCCAAGCGCTCCTACCAAGCCATGCACCATCACCCCTTTGGGTCAAACTCGCTTGTTCCCCCAAGAGGACATGTGAAATCAAGTTGAGTCCTGGAGTCCCTGGTTTTTTGAGGATAACATCTAGTGTCCCATGTCCCTCCCAAATGGACCATAGACTTCCGAGTTATTCTTGGAGAAGAAACGGAACTGGTCAAAAAACGGGCAAGGCTCATCGCCGAGGGGCGCTCCATCTCGTAACACTGCGCCTTCAGGTCGTTGATCTGGCTCTCACAGGCTGCCTGGGGAGCCAGCGCGCTTCAGCCGGAGTGGGTGTGGTTAGGCTTTGGACATCCCCGGAGTCCTGAAAGGTTTCAACTAGTGTCAAACTCCAACCCAACGTTGAAGCAGGGCGTGTCTGCGAGCCTTGAGATGACGGAAAAGAGCTTGCCTTCTTTGGGCCTTGCTGAAGGACCTGGTGAATCGTTCAGCGCGAGTGAAGCGGGAAACCGACTTCCTACTGGGAAGCAAACCATGCCACACTTGGCTCGTAGTAGTATCAAGTTCCCCCCCCCCCGCGCTAGGTTGGATAGGACTCCCAAGCTTTCTGACTTCGAACCCCCCTAGAAATGGTCCTCATAGGTCCAAGACGCCAAGCAGAATGTCCTTCATTCTCATATGGTGACATACCCAGCAAAACAAAAGGAAAAAAAAGAAAAACAAACGCAACTAAGTATGCAAGACTGAAACTGGGGTTAAAGGGGATCAAATCTCTCCGAATGTGATTAAACAATAAAACAAATGGAAGGAGGGAGGGAGAAAAGAGAGCGAGAGAGACAGAGAGAGAGAGAGAGAGAGTGAGAAAGAGTGAGATAGTTATTTTTTAGAAGAAACAATAAGAACAACCAACCAACCAACTAGACATCTCGACAGACAAACAAACAAACAAACAAACAAACAGACAGACAGACAGACAGACAGACAGACAGACAGACAGACAGACAAACAAACAAACAGACAGACACACCAACAAACCAACACACCCACAAACCAAGCAAACCAAACAAAATTTCGCGGCATTGACCACTTCATTGACCTCCTCGTCATTCTGCGTGGCCGCGTACGCAAAGCGAACAGTTGGTAGGCACACACTCCTCCATGCCTCTATTGGGCAGGGTCAGCTTCCGGGCTAGTTTCCGGCACCTCATTGCTTCTCAACTCACTGCTTATGCCACGTGTCAAGTGCCCCCCCGTCCATCCAATCGGGGGCGGGGGGGTTGATGGACAATGAACCTCTTGTCGCTAAGAGGACTCTGGTTGCCCGCCTTCACCTCATTGGAAGCGCTCATGTCCATAGAGGCGCGAACCCGGCCTCAGTGCTCGGTGCAGCCGAACAAAGGGTTGTCCTAGCCAAAACGACAAACAGAGAAAATGTCGCAGCAAGCATGACTGTAATCTCGCAATGGTCATATTGTCACTCCTTTCCCCAGAAGGATATTATGGGAAATTGGGTGGCCCGCCTGGCTTTTGTCGGTACGTTGGGTGATCCCCTACACCTCAAACTAACACTAGACTACCAACAATCTGTTCAGTGACTTCAAGGTGGTATCGGGTTGTATCCCATGGCAGCTTGCTTGGAGCTACCTGTTGGCTGCTTGACAGTCTTGACCCAAATCCCATTTTGAGGGGATGAAGCCCAACGGACAGCATATGAACGAATGCATCCCACTGGGTTTGCATCAAAATCGAGGGAACCCCCCAAAGGGAAAATGAGTGGTATCCCATTGCAAGACCATCTCAAAAGGGTACCCTAAAAAAGAGACGCACCCAATTTGTTTCAGCGAATCACGGAATCCATGTCGCTCTCAATGCAAGCTGCTTGCACGACAGGCCCAAATGGCTGATGATCCAACTGTCCACCTGAACATCCCTAGGATAACTTCAAGGGATTTTCAGGTGGTTCTCGAAGGTATGGATGCTTATATACCACTTACAAATACCAGGTGTGGTCGTGCCCTGCTTCTGACAGAGTACCCTATGCTGCACTGGGCTTACAATCACGCTGTAATGAAAACCAAGTTGCATCCAGAAAGGATAGGCCCTTTGGAATTCCTTCGAACCAGGAAGTCTCATTTCTTACCAGCAATTGAGCATGAATCTTAGATCTTAGATGGGGGGCCCTTGGATGGAAATAATATACCTCGTTTCTTGTGAAGAAAAAAACGACAATATATATATATATATAATATGTATATATATATATATTCTTTATAGGTGTGTAAACCAAAAACAAATGTAGCCATGTGAGGCCCCTGGGTAGTGAAGGGACCTCCCGGCCTTCTGGCCCCGTCCGGCCTCCGCTTTGAAGCTTTGACCGCAAGGACTTCACCAGACTCGCCTTGCAACTTGTACCCCAAATCGAACCCTAGTAAGTGGAAACATGGACCAAAACCTGCGGTCCCCTGGTGGTTTCAGTTTGACCCACACCCATAAGTCCAAAGTAGGACAAACCCATGTTCCACAGACTCCCATGTGGACATGGGCGGTGCTCTCTCTTTCTCTCTCTCCCTCTCTCTCTCTCTCTCTCGCTCTCTCTCTCTCTCGCTTGCTCTTTCTCTTGTTGTCTTTTTCTCTGTTCCCATCTAAAACGAGCGATGGCCTTGACTAGCGGGCTCTTCCAACCCTTGCCACTAATGGATGCTTTGAGTTTGGAATCCGGTGGGGCTAGGATCAAAGGTTCAAACCTCAAAAATTAAGGCTGGGCTCTACAACCAACACGGCGCGCCCAAAGCTCTCGGATGGCCGACTTGCAGGCAACAAATTAGCGACTTTTTTCAGGCTGGTCATTGCAAGTCCTGCATTTGCCGATTTCGATTACAAGGACACTCTATAGCGCTAATTCAGGCATTGGCGCTTGAGCAACTCCTTACCACTCACGAAGGAGTCTATGGATCAGGTGCCTCCCTGAACAAAGGCCTAGCTTTGCAAAGGCTTCCATTAAAAAAACGCACCTCCAAGGAAGGACCACCTTGTTTCCATTAAACAACCACGTGCAACTGCTCTTCTCAAGTGGCCGTCGTGGGGTCCACAGGCTCTCTTGGAATGGGCTGTAGAGCCCAAGGCATGGACCCCTAAGGTAAACCATGAGGATCCCTCATCCAACGCTGGCAACGAACAGGTTGCTGCCATCTTTGGGGAACTTCTGGACCAAACCCAGTTTCTCAATCTGGAAATCGCGCACGTCCCTCTCCGCCTCGTTCGTCAGCTCTCCCTGCAACTTGCTCACAGTGGCCTTGCGCGAGGGTAGCCGCCGGTAAAACGCCTTCCCCTACCTGTTGGTGCAGGGGGCGGGCTTGGGTCCTGTCCCGAGGGGAACCACGGGACTACGGAAGAAGAACCTAAACATGGTTCATGTTTATTCGAATCTTCCAACTACTCGTGGAAAAGGGACACTAACATCAAATTCCATACATTCGTTCAAATTCATTAGAATTCACACCTGACCCCTCGGGTCTGTTTGCGGGAATACGCACAGGCTATGTGAGGCAATCCCCCAAACAAAGGACTCCTTTCGAATTTGGACCTACGTCTGAGAAGCCCTCAGACAGCCCTAGAAAGGACGTCAACGCACCTTATTGAGGTAAGCCAATTCACTGTTTCGCCCAACATTCGGAACTCACAGAAACCGGCCCACCCATGCACCCAGCCACCCCCCCCGCCCCCCCGCCCCATTGATCCCTGCCTCTGAGCGCCACTCCAGCAAGCCCGAGAGCTTCCTCTGAAGGACCAGGTTTGACTTGATCAGCCTGGCGCGAAAATCGACGCTGCTCATATCCATTCCTCGCAAAGTTGCTAAGCAGAACAGCAACCAACGGCAGTACGCTAGCTTAGTTTTGCCCCATCGCTCCTGGCCAGCTGCCTATCTTCGTACCCATAGGGCTGGCAAGGTGCCGGGACAGAAACCGAAAGCCATGGCCTTGAATTGAATCCTGTTTGAACCATGGACTCCCTTACGGAACCCTGACGGCAACTGCATTGTCCACCTCCAAACTGTCAGGCCGGGGGGGATGCAACAGCCTTGGGGAAGGTGAGTACCAAGCTTGCCAAGTTCCAGTTCAAGGCAGCGACTGCGGCTCATGTTTGAAGATCATGGAAATCCGTTCCATGCCCTCCCGCCCCTTTGCCCCTGTCACGCTCCCCCCCCCCCTTGGCCACACAAAAAGACAAAACCGCCGAGGCCGCTGTACGCATCTTGCAACGAACTCGGGGGCAATCTGCGCAGAACCTGAGCTGCACTCCCGGCTGTGACTGAGAATCTGTACACCCAAAGCGATCATGCCCAATATTCCTGAGTCCCACGCTATGAGATCCGTGTGAATGACAAAAATAGTAATTCAACGTTCAAGAGCTCAAGGCTTAGTTTCACAAGATCATGAGCAAGGTTGCTTTGTCTCGAATGAAAAAACGATGAAGCGCAAACACGCATCCAAGCTCTGATTTCAAACACACACACACACACACTTGTGACCTGTTCAACTTGATTGCATTTAGTCATTTAGCTGTCGTAAGCACTACGTATTTAGCCCACGCTTGTGACATATGACCAACGCAAAGTCCTGACAAGCAAAATGCACCATCTGACATGTGTTCTAGCGAAATTTCCCGCGTCAGCAGGTCAGCTAAAGTATGTCATTTATTGGCTAGCGCTGCTATACACGAAAAGGACTGGGCCAATGACGTTCACCGTGTCCCAATGCTTTGAAATTTGAGCCAGGGCCAAATCTAAACCTGACAACACACCTTCAACGTGTAATATATGTTGCCAGCTGGGCAAATAGAGGTTCGGAACACCATTTCCTCCCAACAGATGTGTCGATTACAAACGGAACACCCCTGAGTTGCCTTTTCACCACGCGGAAGCTGACGGAAACTGGATTGGACAAACAGCCCTCTTCTCGAATTGCTCAAACACCTCAGGCACTCGCATACCTGAAATCAAGAATGGGTGTCGCAAATCCCCTCACGGTCGCTTCAATTTTCCCATGTTTGGCGGGGGCCCTGCAGATTCATTGGTGGCGCGACGCCTCAGCTTTTGCGGCCAGAAATTGACAAACTTATATTATTCTGGACCTTTTTGATAAATTGCGTGAAGCTTAAACTGTAGGAAGTAAGATCATGCCACAAGCGAAAGGGGTGTCAAGAATGCCCCTGATAGAATTGCAAGGGCCAAGCGAATGCAACTGGAAGTTTGTGGCGCAACCTGCGGCAGGCTGGGAGCCCTTGCCTTGAGTCAACTGCTTGGCCAGCATGTCAGCCTGCAGCATCCCACACAGTGACAGCCAGCGTTGGATGAAAGACTTGAAATCCTGCTAAGGGACACTGAAGCGTGGTTCTATAAGATGATCCGTGTGTTGTTAAGAGGTCTTCTTCCAAACACTTGGTGTCTTTTCAACCTACCATGAGGTCCGCATTCCCGCATTGATGTGGTGATTGATGTGTAAGTCCAGTACTGCCATCAAGCCACCCATCGCCTAGAACGCGCTAAGCGTCTCAGACCACCTGGTTGCAGTGCTACTGGATTCCTCCAGCACGGCTGATTCTTCAAGCAGGAAGGACCACCACCAGTTTCCTGTAAAATCCCAGGCATTGTGGATGGTTTGCTTGCTATATTCGAGAATTACAAGGTCAAATCATGCTGAGATGCTTCAGGCCAAGACTGGCTGCTCAACTTGTCAAACAACTATACGGAAGCCCCGGCCCTCTTCTGAAAGTTCCCAGAAACTCGGTCAACTGAGGTAACACATAACAACCCTTGGCCAATACGATCATCAGCCAGAATTCAGCAATGGGAAACGAGACATATCTTTCTATAACACCCAAGTGTGTCATCCCTTACCTCACTGAGGTTGGGACCGGTCCCTGTTGGGTGCGGATTTGAGGGGCAACCCATGATGCAAAGACTTTGTCCCCATTTGGGGAAGTGTAACCCCATGCGTTGCAGATTCTGAAGCTTGCGAGCCCCAAGTTGTTAAAAGACCTGCTGGTGCGATAGGTAGGGAATGAGAGAATGAACGCAGGCTTCGGTGCCCTTAAAGAGAAATATCAGTTGGATGGTTTATAGACCTTAATCCATTTCCCCTTCCCTGCCTATCGCACTAAGGAGATTGGAACCGTTTGGTACGCGATCGCAGGATCGAAGGCTGACGGAAGCCACGGAGAACCACAGGCGCCTCCTCCTCCACGCTGATGCGGCCCAGGCGAGGCCCGCCCGGCCTCCGCCACGGCGACAACATGTTGCCCCAAATTGACATGTTTAAAGATACCTGCTTTGGAAGATACCTTGTTTGGGGTTGCTTAAAGAGAAACAAGAGGGAAGCCAAAAGTTATGTGGGCTTCCACAGTGTGAGATAAACCCATATGCGGCTTCTAAACTCCTTGTATCCCGCTAAGGATACCGCAAATTATGGATGCCCCCATCGCTTCCCGCGTGTTTTTTGCGTGCTTGTTTTTCAGGGCATCGCTCTTGCGTATCCTGCGTTCAAATATGGGCATGGGCCATGGGAGACACGGAACAGGACCCAGTGCTGCACACTCATGTTCAACCACTCTGTGAGAGTTGATACGTTCAAGGGTAACCCACCGCTTTTGGCACGCCCCCTTCGCTTCCCCCAGCTTTCTTCACTTCTGGAAAACCGATGTCCCCCGAATACACATTCTAGATAACGCGACTTTTGACAGTTGCTCATATTTCCACTTTCTTCCGGATGTTAGAAAACTGAGGGCCTCGCCATTTTGGCGTTTGAGCCCATCCCCCCCCTTCCCCCGGCCGAAATTCAGCGACCACAGACAGGGATCCTTACATTATACACCTGAACATTGCAACTTGTAAATGGCAAGTTTCCCTTTATTTTGGTGTTGAAAAAGCAACATGTTTCAACTGGTTGCAAGATGAAGATCTTTTAAGGAGCCCTGATGGACCATCCATCCGTTGCGATCTTCGAGTCTTCGAGGCGCGGGCTCGGCCAGTGCCACCTGCTGCCCGCCCGGGGGTTTCGGGGGCGGTGCTTTGAGGTTCCCTTGGCACAGATCCGCAGCTCGGGAATATGGCTGTGGGTCAAACATACGGTAACCCCATAACATGGACTAAAACCTGTCCCCTGGTGGTTGGATTTTTGACCCTATTGCAGCCTGGAACTTGCTCCCAAGTCTCTATCCTAGAACTGAATGACAACTAAGAAACAGCTCTGCAACAATTGATGTCTTTTCTTACATTGCCTAAATTGGCTAAAGCAAGCTGCTGCGTGTACTGGTTCAGTGCTATACGTCTCCCATTTGGTTAAAGCCAGGATTAGAGCCTCTATGTTATTGGGTCTTGATGGTGTTGTTCAGGGATACTTTACGGTGTTTCACCTGACTCGGTGGGTGGCTTACGGTGGGTTAATCGACGACTAGCCAGGATTGTGTCAAGCCGTCTGTGTCATCAGAATGGAGCAAGTGACCGCATCTCTAGTGGCATGACAACCGACAACTGTTAGATCGGTTAACGTATGAGTATGATGTCCGGGCCTCTGTCTCGCTCGCGTCTACATTGAAGTCTACGTCTGCTGATGGCTTCACTAAAAGTGCTTCATGCGTTTTCAGCTGAAGGCTGCACTTGTGCGATATCTGGGAACCTCATCTAAATAAACACTTCGTCATCCAACGGGGCGGGCAAAAAGTATCGCAAACGTCATCAATTCCAATACCCTTGTTTTGGACAACCCAGCCCTCAGCCCACCGGTGCGACATCTTCCAGCTTCTGCGACTTGGAGCCCACATCCATCTTGGCCTTAGCCGCCAAAAAATATTTCTTCCTTGACCCAAGCTAAGGGTTATTCGCCAAACTTTTGGAGGTTGGCGTAGAAGGAAACCAAAGGGAAACAACCTGTTTGGAGGACCCGGGACCCATTTTGAAACAAACCCAGCAGTGAATGGCTGACGACGGCTTGAATATGTGGCTTGTTTCCGGGCCAAAGCGAGGTAGCTCCTTGGGCCCTCGGGGCTCTAAACGATGGATTTGGACAATGATGGTGGTTCCTTGCTTGAAATTCCCACCCATCTCAGTTGGTGAATTGGCCACAGCTTAGACATGCGGGAAAGTGGGAACTTGGTTGTGTCAGTTTCTCAGAGGGAAACCCATCTGAAGTGAAGTGGCAGGGTCCATGTTGGTATCACAACAATGTTGACGTTTGAAGCCATGTTTAGCCAGAGAACACGTCGAGCCAGACTCCGCGTTCTTCGTTCTTCCAGAATCATACAATTGACGCCTGTGCAGTCGGCAAATTGAGGGATCCTGTTCGATGTTTGGCGTCTGACTAGTTTCGTAGCAATGGAAGCGCTTCTTTGGGCTGCGTCAAAGCCAAGGACAGCCTTTAAACCGTTGATTTGGTGTTGCTCTCCTTTGTCAGTTGTTGAATCAATAGGGGCTGTTCAATACACACAGGGGCTGATCCACTCCGAATCACGCACCTGAAGAGAGGACACGGTGGCAAATCCTGAAATGGCCAAAGTATGTGCACGCCATGTTGATACAGCATGCCCAACTGACGTGTTTGGGGAGTGGTCCCTCATGTCTTGGAAAGTGGGCTAGAGCTCATCATCACTTGCCGGGTGTAACATGAATTGTTTTGGGACAATGAGGTTGAACCTTCCAACACATTGGCTCCGGGTGCCCTGTTCCCATCACATCACTGTTGGACCGTTGTTGAAACAACAACTGGCAGGGGGGGGCCCTAGTTACAGGAGACCCATCTGAAACCGATTGAACCACCTAAGCAGGAAGTGCCTCGTACCATGACCAGTCCCATCTCCTGCTGGTGCCAGGCTCATGGCATGCCGTCAAAACTCAATGCGGCATATGGTCATTCCCTTAAGAACCCCTACACTGGTCTGACATCCCCATCAACCCAGGCAAGGCCTTTGAGGAAAATACTCTCGGCAGCTTCCCCCCAACCAGCTCTCTCATCTGGAGTGCCCATGTTTGAACCATTTTGAACCATCTGCTGCTGCTTATCGTGCGTCTTCTTAGGCGAATAGCTTGCTGAACCTAAAGCGCTGGTCTTTGAGAAAAAGCAAGTACGCTCTCCCCAGCAAGCATGGAAGTGGGCTATTGGCCAATATGACACCGTCATTGGAGGGAGGATATTCCCTCACTCCGAGCTGAACAACGCTCAACATCAAGCAGCGTCTATGGCAAGGAGCATGACATTAGCTCTCTCCAAATTACACGTAGCAATTAAGCGCCTCACAAGCCATGTCCCGATTCTCATAGAGCTGGTAAATGGTAAGGCCCAGCTCAAAATGTCGTAGATGCCCACAAAGAAGAGCTTCTTCAAAGGTAGCCCAAACAGCTTGGGTTTCATGTGTTCAGGCGTTCATGTCAGTTCGCCTGTCATTTTTTTCTTGAACACAACAAGTCGGTACTCGACCTGACACGCGGCCATCGTCAAAAGTGCCGAGAGGCGAAGCTCAGCTCCAGCTCCAGCTGCTCCAACATCTCCTGGCATGGGATGCAAATGCTGACTTGCCCGGCCACAAGGGCGCGCCCGTGTTCGCTGCTTGGCAAATACACCCTGTCCTCAAACAACCACACATACAAGCAAGCAGGGCGCTAGGCGACTGGGGTGGAACCTTATCAGATTTGCGTGAGTATGGCTTCACCTTGGGAAAAGACCATTTGGAGAGCCTCCTCTGCCGACTCCGGATGGTCCCAAGTTGTCATTACTACAGCTGGTGCCCCGCGGACGCAAAGCTTTGCTTGAATCAAAGAATCAAAGGCCTAGCAACAAGTCTCCCTTCTCTAACTTCCATTTGTTTAAGCCCCCTGGAAAAAATACAACAAAAAACAGTAGTGATAAATTTCCTTTAAAACCAACCAGGGAAAATCAAGCATGTTCATTTCAGCTAATGGCAGCATCAAAGCGCCATGCCTCTAGAGCAGCTCGCCATCTCACCCCGGATGCATGTATCCATGAAGGAGGGGTGAGACCCCCCGCCAAGCTGCGATCCCCAAGTCTGCGACGCTTTTCGCCTGCAGGTCGTGCACTTTGCTGCGCTGGATGTCGCACTCCATGTGCGCCGTTTCCAGCTGTTGGTGCGCCTGGCGAGGCGACAGGGCCGCACCTGGAAGTGCCCGTTTCAAAGCCCTTGGACGCGTATCAACGACAAGGCCCCAGCATGTTTGTCATCTGGCAAATTGGCTTCCGCTTGGTAGTTTGGATTGCTGGCCCGGGCTTTCAGTTTGGTAGCCTGATTGAGGGGTTCAAGCCCGGTGCCAATTCAAAAAAAGCAATGTGGACGGATAAACAAATCCCTGACCACCTGCAAATGCCATTGAAGCCGTCTCAGCACATCGCCGCTAGGCTCATTCTGAGTGTCCCACGTGCTCCAGCGCGTCCTTGTAGCCACCCTGCACCCGGATGTCGTCCTTCCGCACACTTGATTTCGTAAAGTAAGCCACTCACAAAGCCGCGGAAATCAATGGCGTTATCTTATTCTCCATTCTGACCATTCAGAGGGACAACAAGAACAACTGCTTACCTATCGGACCCCTTTGGGCGTCCCTAAAATTGAGATCGGAGATTGGAGTTTGGAGCTGAGCGGATTGACTGGCACCGCGCGGAGATTCGTTTCTTGTGCAAGTCAACCCGCTGTTCACAATCTGTCTTGCTTACGCTTAGCAACCAAGACAACAACTCGACAAGGCGACAAGCAAACACAAATCATCCTCCTTACCAGTGCTTCTTTGAATATTTACGCGTGGAGGCCAGCTATACACTAATTTGGACACACTGATGGTTCTGGAATTTGACATGCCGCTTATCTGAGACCTCGTGTGTTTTGACTGCTTTCTCAAGCACATCCCAAGTGTCCGTGCTTTCACGATGGATGTAGCTCCTGCTCTTTCTGCTGACCAAGAACTGTGGGTGATGGCAATGTACCTTCCACAAACCGACATTATCACATGAAGCAAGCTTGCTTGTGATGATTCTGGGCGCTACTTCTCGCAGGGGAGCAACTGAATCTTACTGAATATTGTTTCGAAACAATGGTGAACGGGTAGCAATGTTGGGGGCGTGTGGTTTTTCAGGCGAGTCCTGGATTTGCTGCAAAAGCCGGTGGTTCTCATGCTTCACCTGGCCAAGCAAAAACGACAGCGGGCTTCCTTAGGGCTTCCTTTACGCTTCCCTCCAAATCAGGGTCCGTATTTCGTGGCCTCAGGTGCTTTTGCGAAACTGGGCAAAGCGGGGTGTGCTTTTTTTTGACGAACCGCATCAAAGTCAGAAGGATTCGACAGGCCAGGAGAACTACTTGGTCAATTCCAGGAACATCCCGACTCGCTGAGGACGCCAGGCCTTCCAAAAGCCCGCTAGGATTTGCCAACGGCGTGACAAAAAGGCTGGCCACTCCACGATACTCATTCAAAGTTGGCAACCAAAAGGCGGTGCTTAAAAAGACTGAAGCGTGACATAGGGACTCCTGCCACACCAAAAAGGGGGGCATGGCTCTCTTGACTCGACCCGCTTCTGGCGTCACTGGCTAGCATGTGGGTCAACATCCAATTTCAAGACACGCAGGAAAATAGTCAAAACGGGTCTGGGCAAAGTGTGCCATTCTCCAGCCAGCCCGTGGTTTTGCAGACCATGCGGGACCGAACCTGCCAGCAAAAGGGCAATCGGCTGAGTAAACCTGTCTAAACCACTTTCCTCATGAAGTTTAGGCTCCCCCAAATTTTCCCTTGACTGGGTGCAACGACAAGCACAGCGCCCAATGCGATCAACAAATCCCGTCAGGTTCCATCTGTTGACTTGGGGTCCTGCTGAGATTACAAAGGACTGTACAAGGTTGATATGTGTGGATTCTCCTTTCCGGAGATGGGGCAGGCCAAAAAAATCCGGGTTCCGCGTAGGCAATCGGTCGAAAATGTGGGAAAGAGAGAGAGAGAGAGAGGACATATTATGAACAACGCACGAATAACAAGCGAACGTACCTGAAGAGAGCAGGACATGGCCATGGTTTAGAACACACTGAAACAACTGGGATACAAGCACAAACAGCTCACTCCGCATTCCGCCCGAGGAATGGCACAGAACTAGGGCCCCAACGTGTGTCCCTTGCCCTCTCAAGCGACTTTCCGATTTTCACATACAACCGCCCACTTTGAATTGATCCACCTCCAGCAGGGTCCCTTATGTCCCCTTTGAACATCCCCCATGCAAAGGAACATAACCATGAAAGGGACAAACTGATGTTTCAAACCAGGGGACGCATAGGGAACCCTGTCTAGCGCACCTGCTTGACTTTCTCCTCCATCTCATGGACTTTGTCCTCACGAGGAAGAACAAAACATATCCACGAACAGCAAAAGAAGGGCTTCCGCGACTGCAGGCGACCCTGAAGAGACCCAAGCAAAGTTCATGGGGAGTTTGTCCAGGGTAAACCTTTGATTATCCTGACTGATTTCTTGGTTGTCAACTGAACAGGACTCAACATGGCTATGGCTCGTTATTGATACAAAAAAAACAGAGAGAGAGAGAGAGGGAGAGGGGGAGAGAGAGCTCAGCGAGAAAAAGTAACAGACAGACAGACAGACAGACAGACAGACAGACAGACAGACAGACAGACAGCCAGCCAGCCAGCCAGCCAGGCAGGCAGGCAGACAGCCAGCCAGCCAGCCAGCCAGCCAGGCAGGCAGGCAGGCAGGCAGACAGAGACAGAGACAGAGACACAGACAGAGCCAGAGACAGACACAGACAGAGCCAGAGACAGACACAGAAAGAAAGAAAGACAGAAAGAAGGAAGGAAATAAAGAAAGAAACACTGCAATCAATATCGACAAACCACTCAACAGCAACATAAATACAACAACGAAAAAGAGACTCTCTCTTTCTCCCCCCTTTCTCTCTCGCTCTCTCTCTCTCTCTCTGTCTAGCTCTCTTTCTCCCTTGCTCCCTCTCTCTTTCTCTCTCTGTCTCACTCTCTCGCTCTCTTTCCCTGTGTCTCTTTGTCTGTCTCCTTTTATATTGCTGGTTTCAATTATAATTCTCACTTTATCCCGCCTTGTTTAGATCTTAATTGATTGTTGATTTGTGTATGTCTGCCTTTGTTTGTGTGTGCGCGTGCCGAAAGAAAGAAAGAAATAAAGAAAAAAAGAAAGAAAGAAAGAAAGAAAGAAAGAAAGAAAGAAAGAAAGAACGACAGAAAGAAAGAAAGACAGAAAAGAAAGAAAGAAATAAATAAATAAAGAACGAAATAAATAGATGTTTGTTGTGACATATTAGTTGTTTGCTTGCTTGCTTGTTTGTTTAATTGCTTATTTGTTTATTTGTTTGTTTGTTTGCTTGTTTGTTTGTTTGTTTGTTTGTTTGTTTGTTTGTTTGTTTGATTATATGTGCTTTATCTATACACTACCTTTTAGCAAGTTTATCTATACTTGCTCAGGGCGCTGCCAGGCGCCTGGAAGTTTCCACCGCGCATGGTGATAGCATGGCAAGCACACCCGCTCACGTGCACGCGTCATAGCCTTGCGCACTTGGTGGCACGCACTTGGTGACACCCGTTTTGCCCAGGAACACGTGCACAGAAACATCGAAGCTCTGAAGACATGTCATAGGTTGACAGAGAAAGCCAGGCAGCCAGCTAGGACTTCCAAAGGCAGTTTCTTATGCGCCTGGCAGCGCCCTGGCTAAGTATTTATGTATTTGCTTGGGTTGAGAGAGAGACAGAGAGAGAGAGAGAGAGCTAGAAAGAGAGAGAGAGAGAGAGAGCGAGAAAAAGAGGAGACTCAAACGAACAGATAAATATGTTGAGAGAACTGGAGAGACAAAGAGAGAGAGAGAGAGACGAGAGAAAGGGAAAAAGAGAAAGCGCAAAAGACAGAGAGAGATAGAGATTGACAGAGAGAGAAGGGTAGTGAGAGAGAGAGAGGAAACTCAAACGAAAAGAAACTATATGGAGACAAACGGGAGAGACAAAGAGAGATATAAAGAGAGGGAGAGAGCGAGCGAGAGCGAGAAGGGGATACGGGGAGAGAGAGAGAGAGAGAGAGAGAGCGAGAGAGAGACAGAGAGAGAAAAACAAACAAACAAACAAAAGAACAACAAGAGACACATATGAAGACAGAAGGAGAGACAAAAAGATGGAGGGAGAGAGAGAGCGAGAGAAAGAGAAAGAAAGAGAGAGAAAGAGAGAAAGAGAGAAAGCGACAAAGAGAGAAAGAGAGAGAGGGAGGGAGAGAGAGAGAGAGAGAGAGAGAGACAGAGAGCCAAAGAGACGGAGAGAGCGAGAAGGGAGCGAGAGGAGAGAGAGACAAAGAGATGGAGAGAGCGAGAGAGAGCTAGAGAGAGAGAGAGAGACAAGCGCAAACGCCCCACTGAGTCAGTGAGTGGTCCCTAAACTGCAGCCAGTATTCCAGGGTCTCAATTGAAAGCTACGTCGCCCATCACTGTGTGCCCTTATTTAGGCCGCGTGTCAAAACGGCTTGGAACAAATCTAGCCTACCAAAAAGACAGCAACCAGTGATGCTTCATGCCATGATCACACTGCTGGCTCCTTCAGCTCTTCGTTCTCTGCTTCAATGTCCTCCTAAGGTGCGCCAGCGCCATTCGGGCGACGATGAACCATGCAGCCCGCAAAGTCACGGAAAGCGCTGTCTATATGTGGCAAACCAAATTGAACACCGAGAATTCGAAGCGACTCTGGAAGCGCATGCGAGATCCAACTAATGGGCTTTACACCTTAAAGCTTACTCTTCCAGCAGTGATAGATTCCCGTTAAGGCCAACAAGGGAATTTAAACATATTCATTTCAGCAAATGGAAGTACTTCACGAAGCAGAAATGACCCAACCTCCAAGACGTCGAAAGCCTTGTGTGAAACTCTGCGAATTCCTGACATATCGCGTCTTCCTTATTCCTCCTGGTCCTGAAAAACCATTCTCATGGTTTTGGCGACGTCGAGTTCATTTGCGGTCCAAATGTGGGGAGATGCATCCCGTCTTGCGCGGCTCGTTCAAGGGAGTGGGAGGTCTTCCTCTGGGTTCAAGAAGCGCAGACTATAGATCCAAAGGGACTCCCTGCTATAAACATGGCTTCCCCGTTGACCGCCCCGCCATGAAAGCACTGCACAGCCATGTGTGCTCGTAAAAATGGCATCCGATCGCACTGACAAGGCAACGACTCCCTGGGCTGAATTGGCCAACTTGGCACAGCTCGCTATGACAAGCTGATCATTGACGCCTACCCTGTAGCCACTTTAGAGATGCAATGGGTCATGAGGCCATCACATGGATCCCGGAGATGCCCCCAATGGGCCACTTTGCCGCATTGAGCCGCGCAAATCGGGAAGATCTTGACTGAGACGGGGGTACCATGAGCTCGTCAGCTGTGGATAAACCAATATCTTCACAAGGTATTGTTAGTGGATGATCGGACTTTTGGCAGCGCAACTCTCAAGATGTTCCAGCTGATTGCAAGTCTTGCCCAGCTCGGGATCCTCCATCCGCATGACTGCATGATGCGGTTTTCTGCGCTTGCCACACAAACATGGACCCGAATGGACCCAGAAGGTCCCCGGAACATAAGGAAGAGGCCGCGAGTCAGGTTCCATTGGACAGGAGGGGAGTTGCTAAGGTTCCACAGTTTTGGCACAATTCGAGTAAGCCCCCATTACGTCTCTTGTAGTAGCCTATTGTTTGCTTCCTTTGCGCCAGCAGCAAAATATCAAATGCATCGCCACCCTAGCCAAATAGCGAAATGCATCTTAAGTCTACACACACACACAGAGAGACACAGACACGCGCGCGCGCACCCTCTCAGCCTCAGCGCCGGGCCATGTCTTGCTCCCGCTCAATTCGCCGCAAGCCCTCTGCCTGGGAACGTAAACGACCCAACCGGGGCCCAGGCGGACCCTTAGACTGCGAAAAAGAAACATGCGCTAGACCTGAGGACTAAAGCAGCACTAGTGCTAAGTCTTGTCCTGATCTGACCAGGGTCTCTGATTGAGAATCGTAATGACAGTACAGGAGCGGCCAACACGGTGGGCGCCCGCCCCAAACAAACAAAAAATATATGTTTCAACGTTGTCGCCACAAGGAGGCCGAAGCAGCGCGACGCGGCCGAAGCAAGGAGGGAGCCGGCCGGGCAGCGGGATTCAAGCCTGCGAACCCAATTTCCCTGAAGACTTCTTTTAGTGGACCGTCATCAAGCCTCGCGCTTGGTGCCGAGCGTGTCCGCGGAGAAGGTCTGAGATTTTAGATCAGTGCAGACATTAGGCACGCATAGCAGTCTCAATCAATGTTTTTGGCTCGGCATCCTTTTGGTCAAAACGTTGCAACACCACCGTGTTTCTCACTGCTTTTGTCGGGCGCACACGTAGAGTTAAAACATGCTTCACAGTGAGGCCCAAACAAACTCGGTCCTGGGCATGATTTCAGCTCAACCGAGAAAAAAAAAGGACACCTCTTAGTTGCGCTAGTTGTCGGGCCTTCCTGATTTCCAGTCCAGCTCGGTCTTGGGCATGATGTAGATCAAACAAGCCAACAAACAACCAAAATAACCACCAAACCACAAACAACCGCTAGCGGATATGTGAGCTGTGCATAGTCCCTCAGCTCAATCCTCAGATTCTCCTCCAAATGTTTGCCAAGCGCTTTGGTCAAATCCACTGCCCTGCATCGATGGAAGAAGGCTGCAAGCGCTAAACTTGCTCAGGACGCACACACTCACACACTCAGATGTGAAAGCAAGTGTTGTGTTGGTCATTTCTCATCCATGCCTAGAGCCGTCGCGAGGGAAGAGTACGCCACAGTGGAATGTCGGCAGACTGAGCCGGAGGCTCTGAAGTTTTCAACCCAACATGGTGCGGTGTCGTTACGTATTTTTGAGATCGGTTCGACTTGAATGCTGCACCCGCCATTCAACCCGATTTCAGCTTGAGCTGCAACCCTGACGTCTTGCAAATAGGGCACTTCGAGGCGGGAGTTGTCGGACTTGGCCAAGCCAACTAAGGTCCCGACAAACTTCCTCCACTTTCCAGAAAGCATGATCCTCGGCGGTTGCTTGCAGAGCTCTGCGTCAACTGCGCTGAGAACGTGATCACCAATTCGGGCGGTTCCTATCCTAGGGATGAACCTGTCAATCCTCGTTTTGAAAACACCAACATAACTCTGGCACACACGGCAAGGTTTAGTCTTGCCACACTCGGTGTTCCCTGGCTACGAATAATATTGCTCAGTGGTGCCTATCAAGAGAAGCTGAGCGCTGCACGCTTTCATGCGCTTCTCCTCGGCCGGCCAGGGGCTTTGCCACCCTTTCGGGTTGCCACCCTTCCCGGAAGGCAACTGAAAACATCTGAGGCGTTAAGCGATGGGTCTTTCTATCTTCAGTCAGTTCGGTTGACCTCTAAGCTATTGGCGCAAGTTTCCCACACACAGCCTGTGAGACCAGCGTACCAGCTTCAGATTCCTTACAACCCAAGATATAGTGCACATTTTGATGGACAACTGGGCAGGGATCGTCATAACGAGGTGCTCCTGCTCACGCCAAAACTGAAAGCCATTTAGCCTGTGTACATTTAAATGCGAACGCGTTAGGACACTGATTGAAAGTGGACGAAGAGCTGTGTAAGGGCGGCCATATCAATCAGACATAATCGAAAGTAGATCACAATTTGCGCACTTAAGCATTGATGACAGCCAAGAAGTCAGGAGCGGCTGCTTCTATGCTGTCAAGATGACGAATTCCCAATAAAAAAAGGCATGCACGTAAATCCCTGCCTGCATGTTGTTCAAACCGCCTAGATTGAAATTCTAGCAACATGCAATCAAATACCTCTAACAGCACTATTCGTTGAAGGTCATGGTCGTGCCGAAGCTCATGCAAGACCTGTGTGCCCAACAACTCAGACTGGCGCTTTTGTTCAAATGCGAGCGCATGCATGACTTTGCAAACAAAGGCATGTAATTGCTTGATTTCTTACGGTTCAGGGAACCGTGCACTTGCTTCCTAGTGCCAAGGACGAGCTAATAGATGCTGCGAGACCTGTGCCTGTGGAGTATCCAGTCAAACCCGAGTCTCAATGTGTGTGTGTGTGTGCGAGATATATGCCTGAGAAGTCTCTTTGCACTTTGCTAATCCTACAAAAACAAATATACTCCTCTGCGCAGCAACATGGAACCCAAAAAGGGGGTCCCTTCCACTAACTACAGATTCCTGTAAAAATGAGTTTGCTTCTGGTCACTTCAATCAATCTGCCAAAAAAAAGGTTTGTTGTTCTTGCGGCCTCTCAAAACAGGGAACCGCGCGGAAAACATTAGTGGGTTCTCCTTGATTTTTCCCTCTGAATCCCCTCGGCTGAAGTTCACAGCTGGAGCGATTCGTTGGCAACGCCATCCATCCGTGTAAGCAACTGGACCAGAATGGCATGGATGGCCTTCCAAGCTTTCGTCAGTCGAACACTTCCCGATTTGGGGTTGGATGGTTGTTCCCCGCTACCCTCCACTCAGATTTCTCGTTGATTTCCCGAGTGAACCGCAGGCCCCAAAAAGGACGTGTGTCCTTTTGGCTTTGGCCTCCCAGTCGCCTGCTTGAGATCAGCTTCCTCATCCGAGTCTTCGCTCTCCTCCACTGCCTGGGCTTGTGCCCTCACAGAACTCCGTCGGCTCCGAAAGACTCCCTTAGGCATGGGATACCCGGCCCAGCTCCGAAACGGCGCCTAGTCAATACCCGTCTTTTGAAACGGACTCGCACTAGGAGGCGCTCTTCACTTGCGGACAGGCCCTCCATTTTTACCAACAAAAAGGGAAAAAGGTGCCGCCTTCCACTTATGGAAGTGGGTAGGAGGGTTCTGGAAGACTACCATCCTCTTCAAAGGCCAAAAGAGGGCAATCATGCCAGCGATAGGGGTCAACATTTTGCGACTTTAACAGCTTCCACCAATATGATGGGTGAATGGGCTCAACGCTTCAGTTTCAAAACACGATTCCGGCGATTTCCCACATCCAAAGCTGCAGTGCTGCAGGGTGGACCTCCTTCCCTATTTAAACTATTCAAGGGTCCAATCCAGCAATGGGTGGTCCTTTTGCCAACAAATGTTGGTACAGCTTTGGCATACCGGCAAGCGGAAAGCGGAACCCCTGTTAGGAAGGCCACGCATTTTACCAATTGCAGTGCCAACCCTGGCTACACACCCCTTGTGGATTACCTGGACACTGTAGGAGAACCCAAAAACAGCCAAGGCTTCCCTCTCAAACAAATATCACACCAATCAACCAACCGGGCTTGATCTGGATGTGGGTCAAAAATAGGTACCCAAAATAGAATCCTGGTAGATGGAAAATGGACTAAAACCTGCGGTCCTCTGGTGGTTTAATTTTGACCCATACCCATCCGTTTGATCCCGTGCTGACAAATCCTCGCGCCTGCAGCAAGGCCAGGTGCTTCTTCACCTTGGGCTTCTCTTTGGACGCCCCCGCCGTCTCCACCTTCTCAGCCGCCTGGCATCTGTCAAGGGAGGCAACGATGGTCAAAATGGGCCACTGGGCTTGGGGTCCTATGAAGGGAACCATGACCATGGCTCACAGAAGAAGATTTGTTTTAAGACGTTGGAACATGTCTGGGGTATCCACCCTGAAAGGCGGTGCAAAGTGACTGCGCGGTACTAGGCAAGGACCCTGATTGGTGATTATCCGTAGGTGGTTTTGTCTCAAATGGTTGACTCCCCTCCCACCCAAATTGGCCCATTTGGCTTCTCCTCAAAACAACCCCAAAAGGCTACCCTCCACGACACGACTTGCCTTTGTCACGCCCATTCGATCAAACATCCTGAGGTCAACTGGTGAGATGGCTGGGAAAATGCGTAGTGACATACGGATAAACTAGCACCAAAGGAGGTCCAAATAGAAAACCCAACAGTTTCGCCCCGTCATCTTCAACATTGCTGGACTATGCTTCATCTGAGTTGAGACCATGCCATCCTCTCACACATCATGAATGGAGTCAGGCCCTCTCATGGACGTTCATCCTAAGAGGAAGCAAACCCCACCGCAAACATGTCCTAATTCCGAATCGAATCCTCAGAATCAGCCAGAGAATAACGATGCTGGGCAGCCATGGTAAATCTAAGCCTGTGAACTGCGTCCAGCAAAAGGACTTGGGCATCTGGATGCGGCTCAAAATTACTGAGCTAGGATTACGCAGGTTTTAGTCTTTGGTTCCATTCTCCAAGGTGCCATTTTGGTGCATGTGTTTGAGCCACAGCCATCTGTGAGGAAACCAGTACGACATGAAACATGGTCCAAAAGGCCTCAAAAAAAGATTCCGGCTTTGTTTTGGGAAAGGTACCCTCCCACCAATTAACGTGGAACCTGACAGGGGGCTCCTGGAAAACAATTTTGCTTTCAAAGGAACTCCCTGTCAGGTTCGTTGATTGGTGGGAGGGTAACTAAAATGCTAGCAACGCATCTCAAGCCCCACTCTTGAGAACAGGACAATGTATGTTTTTCATCAGGTGGATTCTCACTTCTCCGGATATTGCCTTCTAAGAATAATCAATGACGCCAAGACTGCCAACAACGACTGCGTAAGACATCGTGAAGGTCCCTTCTTATGTTTCCCGTGAGAAATAGCTCTTGCAACTCAAACCTTGCAAATCTGCGAAGAAATAGACAGGGCCATTCATGGGACAACATGATTCCCCACAAAGCCGACCTTGGGGTTCTTAGTTTGCGGGGAAGCTGCATGTAAACACATGTCTGAGTCCAAAGACCTGACTGCCCATGCCGGACTGTGTCAAAGATCAGAAACGCCCGGACTCTCCTTTCATGATGTTCTGTTGGCTCCTGATCAACAGGGCCCCCCAGTTATTCCCCAAACTCCTTTGGAACGAAGCTAAACGGTGCCCCCCCATTCAAAACAACTCAGGGGGCATTCATCACTGGTCAACAGTTCGAAAGCACACCAAAGCAAGAGTCGCAAGCCCACCTTTTGGCATACAGCATCTGCGCTGCACTTGATATGCATCATACTGAGATATACGTATTAAATGTTGTATGTCACCGGTGCATCAAGCAAAACAATATCATATATTACATTAAACTAAAACATACAACATGATAAATGGATATACTAAACTCCACGTCCAGACACGGGCACTGATATATACACACACACACACTACAACTGTTATAATGAACACAATGATACATATGCTTCACCAAAAAACGAAAAGCACACTTGCTGGCAACATCAATACGTATATATATATAATGTATATTATATATATATATATATGGATATGTAAATAATACACACACACACACACATTGGACCTTCGCATCTCCCTCTCTCCCGAAATTGGCACCTCCTCCAGTTCCTGGCAAATCACCGGGAGAAGCCCAGTTCGAGAAAAAATGGTTCCCAGGGTAGATGTGGGAACCGGACTGGGGGGAAATTCACTGAACTGGGGCCAAGTATTCTTGAGAACCTTTGAAGCTGAAGAAAACCAATCCTTCAAACAAGCAGCTAGGCTGCAAGTTGTGTGTCTCCAGCATCTCCTTGAGAAAAGTCAACAGTACACAGCATTAACAACAGACAGCGTACCGGTCCACTCAGATTCTCCTTAAAAGAGTTGTTTGGAGGTCGCGGCTTTCTTTTAAAACTAGGTGTGTTAATAGAGGTGTAACCAAGGCTTGAATAGGCATCTTGCTTGAAGCCCTGTCAAATCAAGTCGATGCAACCTTCCTGACATGGCTGACACGGAACGTGCTGTGGGGCTGCTGCGTTGTACATTTCGGCCCGTGTTCCATCATCTTGAATCTGCATTGCTGTATTCTGTTGCTGTTGTGCTTCCCGCCGGCCCTTGTCCAGCTATATAATGGGAACAAACTTACCTATCCTTTTGGAGGCACCTTGTCTGTGACTGCCATTGTGCGTCCTAGGAGTTTGCTACTTCGCTTCAGACTCGCTGAAGTGACCCACTGCCAGATGTTGGAAGGCTCGGCAAATGTGGGTGAGGGGCATCTTTTTGGCTTAGCCATGGCAGCATCGGCACCGACTGTTGGAAAACGTGGCCTCATGCCACAAACAAAGCAACAACAACTGAAAAGCTTCAAACAACACCCAAGACAAAACAAAGAGCTGCAGCAGTGGTCTAGTGCTTTGCCCCACGCTTCCCCTCGACATGTTCAGAGGAACCAGCAACATCTTTGGCGCTATACCCACCCAAAGCCCAAACCACATGTCCAGATCTGCATCATTTGTTGACCTTCGGATGTTTCTGAAAACTTCCGCTGAACCCGTGCTATTCATCGGGGGGACGGGGTGTCTCCTCAGGCTGGGCTCCCGGACGGCCACGCGGCGCCGGAGCTGGCGGTTCTCCAGCTCCAGGGCCGCGGCCTCCTGGTTTGGAGGCATCTGGGGGCAGCTCCAAACAGCTCCGAACCGCTCAAAGTTCTTAACTTTTTGATGATTTTGCCAAGCAAAAGGACCTTTTGATCATGGACATGACGTGAGTGTTTATCAAAATGGTGGTTTCCTTTTGGCTTCAATTGAAATACCAACCAGAGGGGTGGATTAAACGGAAACCCCCCCTCCTACACCCTAAAGAGCGAAAAAGCGAAGGAACCGGATGGCTGGGAGACACCAAGTTCGGGCACCATTGTTTTGGCTTTTTTGTTGGGGGTTAGAGCTTTGTTTGGGGGGGGGTCCCCATAAAAGGACAAACCCATGAGTGTCAAACTAGGGGACCTCCAAAACCGGCTTGGGTTTCCTTTTGGTTTCCGTAGACAAATTGGAAGGGTCCCCTCAAACAAACACCAGTTCTAGGATCGTATGTCTGACCCCATACCCCTTACACCCAATACCCTTTTTCTTTTAGGGTATAATGTCGACCTTCTACTAAAAAACGGAGATATTTACCTTGAAAAACCAGGTTTTCCAAAAATTACGTTAGACAAAAGTGGGTATTTGGTGAGGGGGTACATTGATTCAGTACAAAGTCGGCACCTTGGCCTTGCAACATCACAGGCTCGGCTTGTCATCTCTCAGGACCCGAGGCTGCCTCTGCCTCGAGCCGCAGAGATGAGGTGCTCCTGACCACCTTGCGTGATTCAATCAAAGCCACGGTACAGCAGGATTGTTTTTTACATTATACACCTGAACATTGCCTTGTACATGGTGGTTTCCATTTATTTTGGTGGAAAAAGCCATGTTTGAAATGGGCAAAGTGTATCTTTTAAGGAGCCCTATACAAGGGGCGCCGGGATCTGCGCAAAGTTCGGATTCGCAGGGAACCAAATCCCGATTGACTGTTCGAGACGACTACCAACCTAAAGTCCTAAAGCAAATGAGTGTTTTCACGCTGGCACCTGGTACCAGCCACCATCTCAAAGGTCGAGGCTATCTCCACCTACCTTGTTTCTGCCGCACCGAAGGGGAAGCTCCTGCAAAAAACAAAGGTCACACAGCCAGTCGCTGTTTTGTAGGGATTCAACCAAACGGGAGTTCCCTGGCTTCGTCTTGGTCTTGTACATCGCGAAACACAACAGCTGGGGCAAGTTTCCCACTTCGATACAATATGCTGCGGTCTTCCGAGTGAGAGCATAACATTTGCATGCACGGTGAAGGACTTTGCTGCGCTTTGTTTGCAAGGCCTTCGTTTGTTCGTGGCATTCTTGCCACCCAACACTCTCACTCCACCTGGTTTGGCGAAATCACACTTGTCTGGGGGCTAAACGAGTGTGGGCTAAACGAGTGTGGCAGTTGAACCAACTGGTTCGGAATGAACCAACACAATCAAAAGCTGATGGGTCTGCTTTGGTCTCGAGCGAGAATTCGGCCCTGTTGATGGCAAGTGTCCTGGATTCGGATTCCAGCGAACCTGGGAACTCGAAAGCGGAAGTGGGTGTCCAAGTTTCTTTACCATGTTGTAGTTGCAAGGCAGAATACTTTGGCTACACATGTCTACATGTACAATACATATATCACATGTATCGTATAATATATATTATGTCATGAATACATTACTTGGTTTGTAGGCATGTCGTGCATTCACATTTGCGTGTGCTCTGGTGACTGCCGTGCCCGAAGCGAAGGCGCCTTCGGGCGTTCGACCCATCCCTCCCGGCCCCGCCTTTCGTAGGGTCGGTGTCGGCGCATCCTCCTGGTTCGGACACGGTTTTCTTCCCTGATGTTGTACCCATAAACCCCCCAAACAGGGGTGGTACAAATAAGTTGGGGTTGGGTTGACCGACGACACGCAGTAGGACCTGCCAGCCAACAGCACAAACACCTTGGGGGTTGGAAACACAGCCCCCTCCGCCTCTCCCCAACCCTTGCACACGAGAAGAATATCGCTCTGCATGCCTTTGAATTGTGCCCACTCTCTAACCGCCCAACAAGTGGGCCTGAATGCTTTCCTGGCACACCTTCGGCTACTTAGGGAAGTCGAAACCAAACTTGCCATGTGGGGTCTCCCACTAGACACCCCCAAGAGCCATCCTGGCTCTGGAAAAAATGGTTGGTCTCCCATGAAGATAAACTCAGTTGAACAAATGGGTTGGTCTCCCATTGTAAAAATAAACTCCCAAGAACCTGCTCAAGTTGCAAAACATGGGTAGCTCTCCCATTTCAATTTCGATGGAGTCGGTATGGCCTCGCAACTGACTCGGTCCTGCGAAGCCCCGCGAGCATCAGCTTCCCTCGGCGCGGTGACGGGCGAGTTACTAAAAACCCGAGGAGCCCCAACCGTGGAGGTCCATTGAAGCCATTTGGGCCGCATGCGTGTCAAGGTCAAAAAATAGTGCGAAAGGGGGGAAGGGTAACAAACAAGGGGAGCCTATGTGTGTCCTTGCGTGCGTGTGTGCGTGCGTGTGTGCGTGCGTGCGTGTCTTCGTGGGTGTGTGGGCGTGCATGGGTGTGTCGTGTGCGTGTGCGTGTGCGTGTGCCTGTGCGCGTGCGTGTGCGTGTGTTTGCGTTGCTTGGCCATAGCAGTTTGAGCAACAAAACTGAACAGCAAAAACTAGGAAATGTCCTTTGCGGCGCTTGTTTAGCGCAAGAGTCATAAATCAATGAGACAGCCTTTCGTTCAGAGACGTCTCCGTCATAAGGACCATGTCGATTCGTATCTAAAAGAGAACACACCAAAAAGCGAGGCGAGCTCCGGAAAACAAAGTCTCTATCAGTGAGGCTTAGCGGCTTAGCCAATCCAGCTTAAGGGCCAGCCCTGTAGATCAACCGTTGTGAATCAGGGGTCGCCTTTGACAAACGTAGGACAATGCCTGGACAAGACTAGGGACCTCTTTTGGCTAGGGTTGTGAATCTTGGATGGGTCTTGTCTGAGCCACAATCAACAATCATTGCGCAGCCAGCAACTTAGATTCGAGTTGATTTCGTACCTGCAGCGCCTGTTTTTGAGTGTAGCCCTTTTTGGGGGGTTGAAAGGGAAACCGAAGGGAAGCCTAGTTCGTGGTCCCCACGAGTGCGTCACCTCCGTGCCAGGGCAGTCTCCAACAGCTGCTGCGACCTTGGCATGCAGCCCGGGGTCACTGCCTTTTTTTGGGTACCCCTGAAAAGTACATAGCCCGCTCCCGCAAAAACGTATTGGAGAAAACCCTTCGGCAGAGGTAAACTTTTAGTGTTCGAGCAAAATGACTTCGTCTTTCCCTGATTCAAGGGAGGGTAACCTGGATCACAGAGCCGAGGGTCCATGGAGAAAAGGAGTCTCCATGCCCAAACCATGGCATCCCAAGATGGACCTCCCATAAACCTCGGGTCCAGTTCATGAGCAGCGATTGTCCTCGTAAACATCAGGTCAATGCCCCGCTTGCGCAGGATGGGCCCGGGATTGGCCCGGGTAAGCAATCATGCCCTACAGGCCTAAACAGAAGGACCCAACAAAGACGAGAATCTTCAAAGACTCCATTCTGCCGTTCATCCCCCTCCTCGCTCCCGCATTTTATGAGCGGCTTACCTGCTTGCTTCCCCCAAAGTCTCTCAGCCCCCCAAAGCTCCCTTGCACCCTCCCTGCCAAGCTTTACCAGGCCACGCCTCGACCCGCCGCAAGCCCATCCAAGAGACAGGCACGGAAGCGTACAGCCGAGCCCCGTGCTCTTGCAGCTTATTTTCCAGATCCTCCACCTTCAGGCGTCCAACAACGTGTTCCTACAAAACTCATTAGCCAAATGACATCGGCAACTACACGTTTGAACCAGCAAAGAAGGAATGTCGAGCTGAAACACATACTAACGGCTGGTCATTGCAGTCGATGGTACGGTACGAACTCACCAAGTGAGCTCTGATTGCAGCGTATCAAAGTACCCAGTCTCAGGAAGCCTTGGACCCAGGTGATTCGCCTCTATATTTTCTTACGGGCTGGTATGTCTTAAGCAGGACGTCAGGAAGGTGTACAAAGGTCTTACAAAAACCTTTATGAGACCGTAGAAGAACCGTGGTGCCTTCTTCTGCTCCTTCTCCACTCTGCGCTGCAGCAAGAAGTTCTGAATCCTGGCAATCAAGCCACATAGCCAACATGTGCGCCACCTTTTAATGGAGGTCCGGCAAAGATGCAAAGTGAGGTTCCGGAACTACCAACGAAGTACCGTCGCCTTTTGCAATGAACAGACCCCATAAAGCCACGCCGATGTGAAGGCTCGTCGAGGCTTCAAGCCGGGGCCAGGGCTGGCCGTTTGACAGAAATAATGAACCCCTAAAAGTGGCTGCCTTGCTGTCTGAAAGTTTGAAGTACATCAAAAGTGCTGGGCCCACAAGAGATCACCCTGCAAGCCTTTGGGCATTTGTTTCCCGTGTTCAACGTTTGGTTTAAGCTAAGCATCACTCAGCTAAGCACCACTAACCTCATGACCAAACCAAGCATGACTAACAGCAAGTGTGTTAAGGCTGTTGCAATTGGTCAACAACAAAATATGCGCATCATTGGCTTTATCAATTAGGGACTAATGCTTCGACAGTATGCCTGCACATCTGTACTGGGCCGCTTGGCTGTGTTGACCTGGGTCGGCTGTGGATTGAATGCATGTTGAAAACAAGCTGGTCAGCAAAAGACACGATATGCGCTTTGAATGGTCATTTCTTTTGGCACTTCCTTGGGCCCCAAGCTGTCATGGAACCTCACAAATTCCAAGGTGACACTGCTCGGTGAGTTGATGCCTCAGGGTCCGGCTGATCCTGCCACGTGTAAGATCTGCCCAAAGACTCTTATGGCCGAATCCCGAGTGTCTTGGATCAGTTTGGGGATTTGAACCATTGTTTAAGCCAAAGAGAAAGCGCACCACGATTGATCGCTCCCGCAAAGCCGCGCACAACAACAGGCCAGCTTTGCACGCGTGTGCCACCTCCTTCCGCCATCTGCCGGACGAGCACCACAGGAGCTGTCTAAGCACGTCGGCAAGTCTACATAGGTTGGGGGTTGGTGGAGGTCTGACAAAGGGCACCCCCCACAAAGCACGGGGCGCCAGGTTGTTTGAGTAATTCAAAACAGGCTTAATTCTGCCACGGGTGTTGTGCCATTGAGGATCTGCCGCTTGGAAGGCTTTCTGGGACTCGTCCGAACACGCGCTCTGGCCGTTGGCTGGGCCTTGACCTTGCTACGACAGCCTTGGAGATCGAACGGCGGTGGCTGTGCACATCGCTCACCCATGGTCCTTTATTATCGTCTCCGTTTCCTCCAACTCCACCTTGTGCCACTCAAGGGCATGTTAGTGATTGTCAGTGATTTTCCCTGTTACAGTGCACCCGTCTCAATCGCAACAAGAACCTGAGAAGGGATACTAAAGACTTGCTACAGTCTTAGTGGTAAATTGTTGACCTGTGCACTGCGCCATGACCACATCTGTTGGAATCTCCTGGCTTTTTGAAGGATTCATCCTCGAAAGGTCACAAAACAAAGGTTAACAACATTTGGAGAGAAACATTTTCTACTAGTCTCGATGGCGGCAAATAAGCTTGTACTTCCGGTGGGCTTCAAAAGAGGACGCCTAGGCGTGACGCATTGTAGTATTGCAACGAGGGCTTGCCGAAGTGTAGAAACTAGATTGGACACTTGTCACAGTGAAAGCAAACAACAACAATGCTCCAACCTGCTCGAACATAGCTCAGCTGCTTTTGGCAACCGCCTAAAATTGGCTTAACTGTCAGCTGGCTCAATGACCATGCGCAACAGGCACGCCTTCCGGGTTGTTCCTTTGAATCGGCACACTAACTCACGGTTCTGCATGTGTCCCAACGCACAAAGGGAAGCCCTTCAATTCGTCCTGAAAGCAAAGCGTAGAATGGCTAGAATGGCTCAAGAGGAAAACATGGAGACCCCTGCAACTGAAAAGCGCCTCGCCACTGATTCCTCCGATCCTCCCCGCTTTTTCGCACTGCCATGGCAGCCTCACTCCCGGGGCTCCACCTGTCAAACAACCCAACAAACTCATCATGAAAACAATCCCCCCCCCCCCCCAAACGGCTTCAGCAGGGCACCTCGGCACCCCGATTGTTCGTGCAGCATTTTTGAAGAACCCTTAGTAAGCGCTTAGTCAGCGCACAGCTACGCTTAGAAAAGACATTCGCATTGACGCTTCGATGGCAGGATACAACTGGTTTTTAAACTCCTACCAAGCAGTTTGATCGTTGTTTTGGGAGGAACATGATCTGACAAATGCAGACCATTCCGCATTGTTGATCGAAACACGTTCCAGGATTGGCTTGTCTCACTTCGCGGTCACTTAAAACTACATGGGAATAACTCAGGACAGTTCACCTTTTGACATTTAAATTGACACACATTCCAACTGCAAGGCCAATAGCTGTTCTCTCCGTTGCTTTTTGCGGAACGAATAGAGAAATGCAATTGCTTCAAGTTGACTTGGACAAGCATGTTGCTTTGGGAGAATTTATGTATTATTATCATATTTGGGGAATGCTTTCCAAGTATTCCTTTGATAAATTGATTACAATGCAAATGGAAGTGCGCCAGGGCATGGAGCACCTTGAGAACTGGTTTGGGATTGAAAGTCAAATAACGCAAACCCAACAACGCACAAACCAACAAACACAGAAATACAGAAACACAGAATCACGGAAACACAGAAACAAACACACACACACACAGACATACACATACACACACACACACATATCACACGTCACACACGCATGCACACGCGCAGGCACACATGCAGAAATACAATTGCACACGTACGCATACACACA